TAACAACGTGGTGTATGCTGTACAGTGCAGTGAGGAATGCCCAGACCTCTACATTGGAGAGACCAAACAGCCACTTCACAAGCGCATGGCACAACACAGAAGAGCCACCTCCACAGGACAACTCAGCAGTCCATCTGCATCTTAAGGATAAAGGACACTCTTTCGAGGATGCCAATGTTCACATTTTGGACAGAGAGGACAGATGGTTTGAAAGAGGAGTGAAAGAAGCCATCTATGTCCACTGTGAGCGACCATCTTTGAACAGAGGCGGGGGTTTACGACACCAACTGTCTGCCATCTATAATCCAGTTTTGAGATCCCTTCCCAGATGCCTTAACGCCCACTCACATCCTGGGCCATCTGACCTCAGGAATTCGCATGACAAGGTGGGGCCAGGTTTCACAATGAACACACCCGACAATCTGGCTGATTGGGTCCCGCACCCAATTTCACACATTGGCTCAGGTGATTAGAGGATCATCAGGGGTCCTTTTGTCCCTCTGTGGGGGGTCACTCCCACTAGGTTTATATCTGGGACTCTCCACCATTTGACCTTAGAACTGAAGAAGCTTCTCGGATGAGAGGTGAAACGTCTTCAAGCAACTTAAAGAAGTCCAGACGCTTTTCTTTGCAAGCTCCTTTGACTACGATGACCTGGATGACTGAGAACCTTCACAGACATATTTTCCTCAGTAAAACTCAAGTGCCCTGTTTGATACTCCTTCATAAACTCTTTCCTGTGTTGACACAGCATCAAACATTGGTGATAGTCAAGTTCTACTTATAAATAATCATCTTATTATGAATGATCACTTTGTTCTTAATGGTTCCCCTCAGAGTTTCTGGCTCTGCTAGCTCTGGGTGCTAAGGGAAACAATAAGTGCCCATTTGTAAATTGTCCTCAGGGCATCTTGTGTTCCAACACAGAGTAGTCATGTAGTCATGAATAATTTGGTGCTTGTCACAGTTTTATGGTAATTTTATGGTGTGGTCTGTGTTAAGTGCTGTTTTGTGTTAATTTTGTGGCACACACAAATTGCCCTCTGTGTCTGGAAGTTGTGAAGTGACCTAGAAGCTTTGGGTTGTTTTATGCCACGAGACGCCGCATGTCTCTCATTTTTATTCCTGACAGCCCACGTCTGTCGAGCTGATATTGTGGCTTCTGATCCTGGCTTTAGAGGAGCAGGTAGGTATATTTTTGATCATAAAGGTTTGGATTTTATCTGACTTGGAGACACTTGGAACGACAAGTCTAAATGGGGTCAACATGTTCTTTAATGGAGGAAGATGAGCAGAGAGGTGAAGGCTGTCTGAAGAGTTTCTAAAGTTTCCCACTCTGAATAGATCACTGCAGTCATGCTGCGTTTCTCTCTACCCCCAGCATGAATGTGTGTGTTTCACTTGGTTTCTGCCTTTGATGAATAAACCATAAACTCTGAGGACACACACACACTTGCATCAATATTAATAAACACATTCTGCTGTCCAGGCTGTGGATTGTGTGTCTTCCAGTGTGCGTCTCTGTGGGTGTGTATGCGTGCGTGGTTTAGCTCCACTCCTGTCAATCACATTGATATAAATATCAGATAAAGTATTTGCTTGCTAGGCAGTGGTATTGATCCACTATAGCCTGCAGCGACAAATGGCTATTATAGGAATAGTAAATGGTTCTTTTTCAGGCTGATTGTGTTACAATGACCCCTACTTTACAGTATTCACACACCCACTGCTTAAAAAGGGGAATTGACTGGATGTAAAGTATTTATGTAAAGCTGATTGTTTGCCATTTCTAATGAAAATCCAGTCTAATTAAAATATGAATCAATTTGATCAAAATGAGTCTAATTATAACGTGCTGAAGAGAAACACTCACTTTTAGGACTCTTATTAGTACTTACACATGGTAACTGTTAGGATTAAAATTAGACTTTAACATCTAATAGGGAAGCATCAAGAAGCTATTTGTTCCTAATGAGCTCTAAGACTCAGCTAAATTCTTTCCTCACAGAGCACTATCCGCATGGGTTTTGTTTTTGGCCAAAAACATTCACCTCAGACGAACAATGCACTCATGACATCATAAATAGTTCTGCAATTCTTTTTGTTTGCTTTATACTTTTTGGCCATGCACATACATCGATCCGGCATAACATTAACATTGCCACTTACCTTATATTATGTTGGTCCCCTTTTGCTGCTGAAACAGCCCTGACCCTTTGGCACATGGATCCATGTGTGAGGCATTTAGTTGTTGGCGTTCTTGAAACCAGTCCAGGTGGTGCACATGTTGATCAGCCTCTAGCAACTGCTGTATTTACCAGGAGTTGGTGTTTTACCCCTCTGGTTATTTGTGCCAATTCCTTTCTGGGCCCCACTCATGTACTGACTTATGTGTCTGTTCATCTTAGCCACTATGATGCCTGACAGGAACTTCCATGTAGTGCTGAGACAGGTTATTGGCTGGCAGTTGGATGGGACTGGCCCCTTCTAGGAATCCTTGGGGATCAGGACTGTCCAGCCTTCAGTTAGCCATTCCTAGTCTGCTTCATCCTTTAGCACTTGGTTCAATTGTGTTGCCAGATGATCATGACGTCCAGTTCCTCTGCCACTGAGAGTACACCTTGGATTGTCCAGTGGAGAACAGCTGGTTTATGCTCCTGGCTTTAATCTCCCTAGTATAAATCTGTGAGTCTTTGCTTGGCAGTTTCCAGTGTCCCAGGTATGGGCAGCTAGTTGTACATCTTAGGCATTCCTTTCTTTATCACATCTTTCTGCAGCTCTGACAAATGGGCTCCATGGAGAAGTCCCCATCCCCATTGAGGGGTATTGCTCCTTGTGGCCGTTCATCTCGCAGCCAAGCATCTCATGGTATAGATCAGATGGTTGGTTTCAGCAATGGTCACAGTCGGGACTGTCAACAATGCTGCATTCATTAGTAGACCTTCAAGTAGCCTCTGAAGATCTAACAGAAGATGTGAAAAGAGTTACGTAATACATAGTAATCGGCCACTGAGGAACAAAGTTTCCAGCTTAGCCATGATCCTAGCTTGCCGTAGCATTTGTGTTGAATCCAATCAATCTCTAGTTGTGATAGCAGTTGCAAGCAGTTGGAACTGTGATCTACTAGTTGTTTCACCTTTCCATTGGGATTACTTGCATAACAGCATTATGACAGCAAGAAATGGTGAATAGGGGGAATCTATTTCTCCTATTCACTGTTCTCACCCTTGTCCACTTATGCCTTCTTGTCCCAGTAGCCTTCCTCAACACCTGATGTGGACCTTGTTAATCTGGGGGACATCCGAGCTGGTGTGGCTTCAGTTATAACATTTTTATATCACTTAGATCATCTGTAAAGCTCTTTGTTAAAGCTTCCAAAGTACCTCACATACAACCACAGTAGAGGATCCACAAACCATTAGCCTCTCTTACATCTGCACTGACCTTGGTAGAAAAGACTTCAAAATGAATCGTTTAAAGAAATTGAATTGCTGTGTATCCTCAGGATTCTGTCATACCATTTAGATCACTGAAATTTTATCATACAATGTTTTTATCTACTTCTATCTACTACTACTATTTCTTAGTTGTGCTTTCTCTGAGAAAACTTTGGATTCCATAGCACCAACTAAGTATCGTTTAAACACCATAGGCTACCTGAGTATCATTGCTGAAACCTATCATCCATTTATAACCCCATTGTACGCATCTTATAATGGCTGTTTCCAGCAGGATCCAACAAAGCATGCCACAAAGCTCAACTCATCCCAAAATGTTTTTTATTTTACATAACAGTGAGTTCACTCCTCACCAGATCTCAATCCAATACAACACATTTTGGATGTTGTGTAATGGGATTTTCTCGTCTAGCCCACAAATCTCCAGCAGTTAGGACCAAAATCCCAGAGGAATGTTTCCAACACCCTATACGATTAAGCCAGTTCTGATAAGAAAGACAGGGGTGTGTCCAACTTGGTATACGCAACCAAAGACAGTATAAAACATTTTTACTGACTATCCAAGCATTCTGAGGTCTCAGCTGTAACCAGGGTTTCTACCCATGAAAACAATGTGAACAGGAAAATGATAAACTGTGGTCATTTTGTGAAACCAGTATGGATTCCAGTATGGATTGAGGTTAAAACGATGTATTGAACAGATTAAAAAACACCCAAAGTAATATTTGAGCTGCTGCTTCATTGTGATGAAAGAACCCACCTGAGATGGTCCAGGGATCTGAACAGGAAACCTCCCGTTTTCCAGGCTCCCCGTAGAGCATAACTTGCTGGAGAGATTTGGGATGTGTGGTCAGGAAACGCATCTGAATACCTAGGGAAAAACAGGAAAAAGGTTTAGGGCTTAGCCTGTTGTCATGAGGAAAAACTAAATGGATGGATGGATGGATGGATTTATGGATGGATGGTTTTGTTGGTAGATTTTCTTTTTCAGAGAATCTGAATTGTGTTGCTGTGTATTACTCCCACATTTCATCTGCCTTGCTGCTTCTCAGAAACCGTTTAACTCCTAAATGTCAACCGTTCAGGAAGAAAAACAGCCCAGTTCAATCCCAGCAGAACTGCCATTTTGTGGTAATATAATTGTTTTTTAAAAGCTCGATAGGTTGCAGAATCCACTCAAGCAGTGAAGGGGCATTTCTGTATTGTTCAGATGACAGTGAAAATGTAAAAATCACCCAACTAACCAACCAGAGTTTTCACTGGACAGCACATTTAACCTCCGTTTCTCAGAAAGAGACAATAACCTTCAGTTACTTCCACTTGACTGATGCTTGCTGACTGCTGCAGCTATTACACTCTCACTTCCTGTCCCTCTGTAACACAGTGAGCGTCACTCGCTCCATTTCCAGCTGAATGATGCTAAGAGATCATCGCTGACCATCGCTCTCTCTTCTCTCTGTAATGCCTCTCTATCTGATAACTGAGGCAATAAAACCCAATCCAATTCCACTGACCATTACTGACATCACTCTCTCTCTGTAGTTTACAGTGGCAGGTCCCTCTCACAGTCGCCGTGGGAAACACATCCGCCGTTTGTTCAGAGTCTCTCATCTGGATCAACAACAAGACAGGTACAGTAGTGTGGGTGTAATGATTCTCTGTGCTGCTCTCACGTCTCAGATCATTCATGAAAGTGTGCTCTGCAATCATGACTTAATTATTGTGTTACCTTGAAATGATGAGCCGCTGTCTTGGCATTGTTTTGTTATGCCAACAGACTAATCTATTTCCTGATCACAAATTAATTATCTCATTATCTCCAGACATGTAATCTGTAGTTAATGGGCTCAACAAATCGAAGCAAACAGATACAGTAGATTGTTTTGAGGGATCTCATTTTCAAGGTTAGAGGTCTTTCAGTGCTGGCAGTAAACACAGAACCTCCCACATATAAATATGGCTAATTCTTCATGTTTTCTTTTCTCATAAAATAAAGTTTTTTTCTTCTAAATAAAACTCCCTCATTATTTAACAATGTGTAAAACTCACTGTTGTTCAGTTTTTAGAGAAATAAAGGTCACACGAGCTTGTTTTTTTAAAGAATAGCGCGCTCTACAAAGTACAGCTGCATTTTCTTTGATATTAGGACGATTAAATTACTTCTTACAGACAACAAAAATTTTCTGTGTTGAGGTAGTGCTTTGTCTTTATTAGCTTTTGGAGAAAAGTGTGTTACATGAAAAATAAACCTTTCAGAATAAAGCTTGTTCCTCTTTTGTCTTGCTGGCTGCTTTATGGAATAAAATCCTGCTTGGTTTAGTTTTTTTTTTCTGGAAAACTGAAGCTTCAGATTTTTTTAAAGGTAATTCTGCCTGAAGCTCTGTGCCAGTGAAACCAGCTGTAAGACCCCACCACCTCCACACACACAGATCAGAGCAGGCATCGGTGACAGCAGATATGACATTTATTAAGCCAGAAACAACATGAAGCATGAAAAGAGGAGCTCGGCTTGAGGTGAGCTGCAAAGCGGCAGCTTCGGACAGGTTATCACAATGTATGAGAGTTTCTGATTGGACTAGTCGAAGGTTTCACAGAGCCATCAGCTGATGTGTGCTGACGGTTAGATTATCTAATGATTAAACCTGAGCATGACTTATGGGCCTCTCTGAAATAATGCTATTCTCACTTTATGAGTGTTGTCAGAGATGCTAACTCTGTTTTCTGGCTTGTTCCCCTTCAGTCTCTTTAGAATGGACGTAATTCAGGCCTATTTTTGAGGAATATACTTCCTATATCTGTCTTTGCCTAAAAAAACATCAGGTTCTCATCTTTGGAAAGAGCTGACTTCAGAAGAAGAGTTTGGATTCTGGCATATCTTCACCTATTTGCAATGAGAAGAAAGGAGTCTTAAAGTTCACGACTCAGAGGTAGTTTGTTTCCTATCAGAGGGAATAAGTTGAAGAAGTGGGCCAGACTGGAGTCAGCTGCTATTTTCCCTGTTTTCCTCAGGCTGTTATACACATCCTGCAAGCTGTTCTACTAAAGCACTACAACCTAATTTTGCCATCTCTGAGAATATTCACATTGTTGTGTAAAATGCTGCGATCCTTAAAAGGTTGTGCAGAATGAGCATGCTATTCTTAGCTGGTTGTAGTTTCAAGATATTTTTTTCTGCTGCACCCAATTTTCTATTTGGTTTGTGTGTTCCAAGTTTTCTAAAATGTTTAAATGTGCAAATGGGGCGTCCTCTGTACAAATATTCCTGGTTTGTACTCTTTTCCAAAACAGAACAAATCGGAGGACTTGGTAAAACCAGATTCAAAAATCTTATCATATCTTTTTAATGGCACATTAAAGCCAGATGATTTTAGAAATCTCTTTTTACTCATTTATAATTCAAAAAATCCTGTAAACAGCCTGGGAAAAAATATTGTGCATGTTTTTTGGAATAAAATGTTGAATGAGACTGTGAATGATAAATGAAGTGTAACAGACTGCAACAGACTGTCGGTACAGACTGTCTTACCATTCCTACAACAGCCTCTCAGCCTATGATAAGATGAATGGGTTAATGGATGAATATTTTCATTAATATCACCTCAAAATATCTGCAGTCGATCGCTTATATCAAGTTTTCCAAATGTTTATATTTAAATATTAAAATGAGGCACTATCTAATAAAAACACTGTCACTGTCAAGTAAAATTAAACATTTTGTACATTTTCTTTCAGTTAAAATGAAAAAAGACATTATGAAAACACATAAAAACTCAAAACTGCTGACTTCACGGAAAAAAGAAAACAAACAAACAACTTTTAGAGCCATATTTACTAAATGGGCTAAAATGGAGCAGTCAGTTTATTTCAATACAAGAAAAAAATCAAAACTTTACTGTTAAATATTGATACGATTAGTCAGTACCAAAAATATTAGCGTCCCCCCTCTTACAAGTTATCTTGTCACTGCACTCAATTTAATCCTTACAGTACTTTTATTTATGTCAAAACCCAGTTTGTGCTGGCATTAGAGCAGGGCGATATGACCAAAAATATTTATCACTGTTAGAAGAATTTAAGTTGTACTATGATTTATTCACTTATGCATTAAGGTTTTATTACTTAGCATGCTTCAGAATGTTCATATATTTCACAGGGACATTAGAAGTAACTCTTAAAGTTTAAACTGCAGATGTCTATTATTAAAAGATACCTCCGTTATGAAGCTTTCGAATGTATTACAATGCTCATATATTTGTGTATCACATGCCATTACATCCTGTCACGTACACACACACACACACACAGAACACACACACATGCTGATAAATATGCTTGAAAAACAGGAAATGCAACTGTCCCTTTGTATAAATAAATCTGACTGCAAGGCCTCGGGTGTGGATCTCCTTCGAGCTTCCACCCGTGCACGTCTTCATTGTTGAACCTTGAACAACAGTCTGAGTGTCTTTATTCAACCTGTAGAATGTCTTGTTTAATTGAAATAAACCATTGACAATCACAATATACATTTGAAAATTTGCGATAACGATATAACTGATGAAATATTTAACACTAGACAAAATACTTTACAACTCCACAACTTTATTAGTGGAAAAAAAATCTATGTATTTTCACTTAAACAAACAGCTGTTTTTTATGTACATTAAAGTTATATAAAAATTTAAAGTGCAAATGCAAATTCCTTGCTGACAGTTTAACCAAAAGGCATTTCCAGTGGAAACTGGCCGACATATCGTCAGCATAACCATGTATAATATCCACAAAACTTAAAAAGAGGTTATACACACACAATACGGTAATATTATGTTGAAGCACAGTACGTATCACTCCGCGAGGCTCCGGCCTACGATAGCCGTAATGCTCCGACAATCCATCAAGCGGTGCGGGTTTGTAGCTTAGCAAAGTCGTACTGAAACATTTGACGCCGTGTACCACATAAAATCGTTTCGAGGTCAGTAAGCACAACCAGAATTCATACATAAGGCACACGGGATTATAAGGGACGCTGTCGATTTTCAGAAAAATGAAAGGATTGATTTTAAGTGTGCTGTATTTTCCAAAAAACACGGTAATAACGACAGCCCGCTAGCATGCACTACCAAAAATAGTGCTTTGTTGTGTATCTGATGGACGAAAGCTAAACCAGTTCCACACCACTGAAGTTGCAGCATTTTTACAAACCAGTTCTGGTTCATCTGTTTCATTCAACGATCCGCTTTTGCCCTTCTCATTCTTAGTCGCTGCCAGGTTTTTTCCGCCATGTGCGTATGAAAACAAAGGCTCTGCGCATGTGTGTTTTACCCATATTCTATCGAGATATTTCATTTTCTTATCATTGCCCAACATTATACCGGTGTTACTGTGAACAGTATAAAACATTGCTATATTTTACCTTTATTATTATTGCTTGAATGACAACAGTTTATAAAGTGAGAAACCAACATTTTGATACCATGTAATGAGTTCATTGAGTGTTACTGTCATTTCACTTCTAACGTTTAAGCCCTAAAAATGTTTTTAAAAAACCCTACACTATAGGAGGAACTGGAACTGGAACTTGGAGTCCTCTGAAGATCCTGACAGGACACCATGTCGTTATCTGCCTATCTGATGTTTTTAATATTTTTGATGTCTTTGTTTTCTCGATGCTTGGATTAAGTGTTTTAATGTTTTGTTGTTGTGTTGTGTCTCAGAAACCCACAGGATTGGTCAGATGGATGACAGCACATGGTTGGTAGGCAACATCAATCAGACGGGCTACTTCCGCGTGAACTACGACCTCCAGAACTGGAAACTGCTGATTCAGCAGCTGCACACCAACCCCCAAGTAAAACTTGTCTGTATTCAGTAACATCTGCGTTTGTCTGTTTTTTCTCTTTCAGTTTTTCAATCCCTCTTTGCTTGTTGCTCATTTGCAGATCATCTCCGTTGGAAACAGGGCAGGACTTATCGATGATGCTTTTAACCTGGCCAGGTGAGATGATAGTTTGCTATGATATACCGCAGTGGCAGAAGTAGGAGAGGTTCTAGCCCTTTTCTCACTCTCTTTCTTACTTATTGGCTCATCTTTCACTCTGGCTTCAAGACATAAAAGCATGTGGACACAGAGGATGGAGCCAGGCAAATCTGTTGTGTCTGCTTCTGTGTTTCTTTTCCTATAAGGTGAAGGGCTTTTCTTGCACAGGACTGACAGTTTGTCGTCTTCTGTCAAACAGATGGAAATTTTGAACATCGACAGATGTGTTTCAGAGTTGAGTAGGTGTTTTGTTTTGCCGCCGGGTATAGACTTCGATTTAGTTGGCCGTGTATACAGAGGTTTATTCTGTATAATGTGAGTTCAGTTGAGGCCCATGACTCTTTATACAGAAGAGTTCAGGACAGAGCTTTACCAGCACACACACACTTCCACCAGCACATGGAGAAGTGCCGCTCTGCGGCTCTGGGATTAGCAACACTGCCTTGTACTAGATTCTCCTCAATCCTGTATCATGTGTGATGTTTTATGTTCTCCCCTGCATTCTTATCATCAGTTACTTCCCACATATAAACATGCTTGGTGTGTGTCTCCAACAGCTTTCCAGTAAACTTTGGTTTTGCTAAAACAACACCTTGTTTTTTAGTCTTAGAGAGAGGATCTGTTTTTCATTGAGTGAAAAACCAACCACAACCATTTCCTCCAAACAAACTTCGATCACACAGAGTACAATATGTAGCGGCATACTTGTGTCCGAGCTGTGGACAGGTTGCGCACATAGCCGCGCCATCCCAAGGCTTGGTTTTAGCATGGGGGGGTCTAGTCAAGACCCTTACTGGATACCGGTTGGGAATCAAACTTGTGACTCCTACTCCAAAGATTTGTAAGGCAAGGCAAGTTTATTTGTATAGCACAATTCAACAACAAGGTGATTCAAAGTGCTTTACAGAGACATTAGAAACAAAAACAAATAAATCTTACCACTACACTATTCAGCCACAGTTCCTATCCAGTTGTTCCTACAAGCACTCCAGGATCATAAAGCTTTCTGAGAATTTCAGAATTCACCTGCATTTCATTGAAATGAATTAAGTTCAGGTGCCAGAATTGTTTTATGATTGTGAAAAGTTGGATGATTTGAGCTCCATCATTTGTTTATAATTACTAAAATGAACCATCTGAGCAGCTGGCATTTAGTCCAGTATCTCTTTGATGTTACTACTGCACTGTTTTTGCTTTTTGGAATTCATGCAAAGTCTCCTCAAAGCTGCCGGTGTGTCCCCTGGTGCTACAGTACGGCTGTGAATGGGTCAAGGTATGAGCTGAATTGCCTCGCACACATCTGGGTCCGTCCACATTTCTGAATTCAAAGAAGTTGCGTACAGACGGTGTGGAAAGAATTTGAAAAATAAGGAAAGGCAGACGGGAACTCGGTGATGAATGAGCGATCAGCAGCCACGGCGCGGGCGGAGGCGGGGGGAGGCTGAGTAAGTCGTTTCTCATGGTGATGTTTTCAGCCTGAAGCTTTTTGAGCACTGTAACCAAAATCTACTCTGACACCAAGCCTATAACTCAATCTACCCCCGTCTCCTTTTTTTCTTTCTGTATCTTCCCTTCCCTCTCTCAGCCATCTGTCCTCTGTCATGTTGAATGAGCAACATCCAGAGACGACTGCGCTGTCGTCTTCTGCTCAGGAGTGTGTGTGTGTGTGTGTGTGTGTGTGTGTGTGTGTGTGTGTGTGTGTGTGTGTGTGTTGAGTTGAGTTGGGAGCTCAGCAGGAGGTTTCCATCTGTACCGAAAAAGACACTACAGATCCATGAATATGCACACTGATAGCAGAGTACTCTTACTTCACCCTGGATCTGCAGTAGCACCACCACGCAACATTAGAAGACAAGAGTTAGTTTGTTTTTTAACGCGATGAGCTTTTTGTTTTTTGTTTTTTTAGTCCTCCCACGAAAAGTCTTTTTCTATGCAACATTTATTTTTTAAGAGTTAAACTTTTTGAGGACAGGAAACACTTTGACACACATCCTGTTGGCAAAGTTTCTCTGAGATGCTATTAATCCTAAAAGAAGCCTTCTGCTATATGTGAAACATTAACTGTAGGTCTCACACATTCGTTTTTGAGGCTTAGTCATTTTCCAAACGTGCTTTCTGAGCTCAACATCTGCTTCACGGATTTTCTCGCTTCTTTATTTCAGGAGTAAAGACGTCTAGAAGACACTAAGAGCATTACAGGAACTTTTTCCAACTTAAAGTGGACTAAAGACATTTTTTCTTATGAATATGTAGAAAGATATCATTAGCTCAAAACACATGTGTATTCTCGCTGCCTTAGTTTTACTCCGATAATACGCAATTAAATCATATACATCATATTTTCAGGGCTGCATGTGAGTGGATAAAAAACATTAAATGTATTTCATAAAATGCAGCCAAATCACACAACGAACACTTACAGGTGTGGACAGAAGTTTACATCCATCATGGGCATGAATGTCAGGGTAATTTTGGATTTTTAATGACTTCTTTGAACTGGTGTTCCAGGGTGGGATGATTGCAGAGCATACATTTTTAATGACTTTGAAAAACAACAACTGGGTGCAAAAGTTTGAATTTATTTTCAATTTTTTCTGATCCACATAGGGTCAGATATGTACATACATACTCAGATATATACAGTAGATATACCCTCACTAATATTTGGTTAAATGTATGGTAGCAAGTGGCACCTCAAACAGATGTTTTTGTTAGCCATCAAGGAGGTTCTGGCATAATTCTGGCTGCGTATTTGACCGTTCTTCCTGACAGCTTCTTCGTTCATCGGCATAGATCTGACTTTTAAGCATAGTTAAAAGTAGGGTTGAGGTCAGGACTTTGTGAAGGCCATTCCAGAAGTGCAATGTTAGCCTGCTGTATCCATTCCAAAACCAGTTTTGTTGTGTATTTGTCCTGTTAGAACACCAAACTGTGTCCATCTACCTGTTCATTTTAGGTGAAGTTAAAGAATTTAGAGGCAATCCTCCAACTTCATTAATCTGTCTTGCTACCACCGCCATGCTGGACAATTAGTCCTGTGTTCTTAGCTTTGAAAGCCTCACGGTGCTCAGTCCATGGTGATGTAAAACAGTGGCGCTGGTGCTCCAGCAGTTTCCAGTTCATGGCAGGCTTTGGCTGCACTTAGCAAAGGATTTAAGTGGGTGTATGTATATATTTGATTCTCCTGATGAGTGCATTCAACCTTCTTCAGACCACAGCTGTATTTTATTTATTTATTTATTCGAAATGTGCATCACGTTTTGGAAATGTCATGGTCCTGCGGCCATGACTCAGTGACTTTGTGTTTGTGTTCTTTATTGTTATTATTCTCTTTATTTTTCATGGGCTGTTTTGGGATGGTTTGTGTTTTGGGATTTTAGATACTGGGTTCTGGGTTTGTGCTCCCTCTATTGGTCCCTGGTGTCAGTGTTCCCCTGTCTCGTCAGGTTAACCAGGTCCAGCTGTGTCTCCCACCTGCGTGTGATTTCCCAGTGTCTCTCTGTGTACTTATGGTGTGTGTTTGCTTCTGTTCCTCGTCGCGTCGTCTGTGTTTATACCCTGTGAAATCCCCTGCGTGCTCCCCCTGCTGTTCTCCCTTAATGTTCTGGTTTGCTATTCCTCGGTGTAGTTTCTCCCAGTTTAGTTCATCCTTAGTTCGGTTTTGCCATCTCCACTTTATGTTTGGTGTTGTTAATAAATCGCCTCACGTCTAAATAAGTGCTGCATCTGAGTCCTCCTTTCCACTCTTCACACGGCTACTGACCCGGACCGTGACAGGAAATCAGAAGGGAAATTACTTACATCTTTTATCCTTCCTGAAGACTTTTCTCATTATCATTAAATGTCTGATTTAAATAAAGTTCTGTAACATTCCACTTTATATCCATACAGCTCATACATTTATGTGACATAACTAACATAATAACCAATCTAGTGCATCCCTGTGTTTGATCCACGGTATCTTCTTGTGGGCTTCCTCTGATTCATTTGGGACATTACTGGAACGAAATGTGTAATCCATGCATATAGACCAAGAAAACGTATTCCTGCACATCATCTAAGGGAAATTCAGAATCATCCTCTTTAATTTGATATCATGGAAGGCACAGCTTGTGTTGAATCTGCTGCCTGTACTTCATATCCAGTGATGGTGAGGTGAGGTAAAAGAAGGCTGGGTATGTGCAGTTTATAGTACCTCTTCTACAGTTTGATTCCTTGCTCGGGGATTTATTTCTCCACCTTATCGTGGCATCAACTGATTATTTCGGGGAGTGTAGTGCTCGTACTGATCGAAATGAAAGCCAGAAATTATTAAACCATGATAAACTCTTCAGGTCACAAACAAATCAGCTGCCAGGCCATCTAATGATCACTTCTGAGTCACAAAAAAACCACTGAGATCTGTTTTATCGCACTGAAGGCAAAAAAAGAAACTGCCAGCTCTGCTCATTTAGCAGACTGAGAAATGTGTCTTATTTATGAAGATGTTATTTCAGCCTTTTTCTGAGAGCTGCTCACTGAATTGATTCTTTAATCTCAGAATTAATTTCAGTCGTGCTGATTCTTCTTCTGCTGCTCACACTTCAATTGACCAAAGCCTGAGTAATCCACCCAGCACTAACTACAAATAGGAGGCAGCACGACTGTATGAAGGTGTGTGTGTGCGTGCGTGCGTGCGTGCATGTGTGTGTGTGTGTGTGTGTGTGTGTGTGTGTGTGTGTGTGTGTGTGTGTGTATCAGGCTAGTTTAGCAGTAATAAATGCCTCAGTGAGTGTACGCTTAAACAGTGATGGATGTTGCCTCTCTTATATGTGTGCACCAGTCCCTCGTTAGCTCTCCACTGAGCCTTGCTAATGGCTAATGGACAAACAATTAACTGGCCCTTAACGATGTTAACGAGTTAATGAGCTCGTTAAGACGACAACCCTGGGCGCAACAGAGAGAGAGCGAGGGAGACTGTAACTGAGAGCAAAAATTGAAAATCTATAATCGCTTCACTTCATTTCACAACTACACTAAAATTTAAAGCCCTGCTAGCATTTCCTAGAGATCCCAGTGTTCATTACAGACACAATATAGGCAGAAAAGAGAAGGTGCTGAAAGGTGACTGTTTGTCCTGATGAATGAGAGTCATACAATCAAAACTGTAGAGTCCTTACAGAAGAGAGATTAACTAGGTAATCAAAGCTGAAGTCTGCTTACTGAGGTCCTTGTATTCAACCCTGGCAGTTTTATTGAGGATGTAAGCCACTGCATTAGGCAGCATCACCAGCAACATCTAATAATCCTATAACAATCTTGGTATTGTCGACCAGTCGTGTCCTCTAAAAGTAACTTACTTTTCACACACTCCTTCTTAACACCCTTGACAGTTGCACATTCACTCTGTTCTTTCTTCACTTGCAGTAAAATTTTAGCTGTCACCTCATATTTACCAAACAGATTTAAGCATGCTCATAAGTGATGAGTTCAACCTGCATTTTTATGACCAATAGAAGGACGCCCATGTTCAGTTCTAAAGAAGTTTTTCTAAAGAAAACAACCCTTTAGCTCAGTCTTCAGTCTATGAACTATTTTTTTTCTCTGATACGTTTTATGGTCCAAAGTGCTTATGTAATATTTAAGCAAACAGGAAATCAAGCAGGACCTATCTTACCATGTGGTTGGTAAGTCTTCAACCAATGGGCATCCAGCTATCTTCAGTTTTTAAGTCTTTTTGTGGTTTTGTGACACATTTCTCAGGTTGAGGGTTCACAAAGAAGGCTATGAGCCATCAGGGGATTTCATGGTAGCAACTTCCATCTTATATATACAGTCTGTAATGATTTTCATTATCACTCTGCTCATCTAAATATAAAAAAAAATCAGTAAAGGAAAGGTTCTACTTGTGTAATTCTTTGGTTCTATCTTCAGTTGATTTCTTTGTTTTTAGTTTTGTGCAGTTTTCAGTGGAGTGTGCAGTTAAACTTTTGTGGGGCTAAGTTTGTTGATGCATGTAAAGAGGCCTTTGTGTTATGAATAATCCATTAATTTACATAATAATGAAATCTCTCTGCCAGATGTGCAAGCTTTACAGTGGTTGGCAGTGGAAAAAATACCTGACCTCATATTAAACTTCATAGAAAAGCTGCTGAGGTAGATTTTTTGACCCTTTTATTACTTTGACAGTTGTCGCTTTGATGATGGATCACGTGCAGCATCAGTGACGTGTGACACGAACGAGTCTCAGAGCTGATGTGGACTGATAGCTGATGGATGATGTTTAAAAAACAATGACAAATAAACAAATAAGAAAACAGATAAATGTCCAGCTGGAGTTGCCATGGTGACTGCAATCTCTCTCTGCCTTTATGTCGAGTCCCGTCAGTGTTTTTGCAGCGTGGTAAACAGGAAGTCTGTGCAGGCTGGATGGATTATGGTAATGTCCCAGAGGCCAGGTGCATGATGGGAATGGAGATGAATGTGTGGAGGCTGGTCGGGTTGGAAATGAGGCAGATTATGGAAATATGATGGTCTGGAATTCAGACTTTCCTTGGCAGCTCAGAGACTTAGCGAGTCTTATCTCAAACAGATTGACTTTCCGTGGAGTCTGCCCCTGTCATCTTGTCTGTCTGCCTCTGAAAATTAAAAACCAGCAACCAAAAAAAACAGTATTTCAATACAAGAACATTCACTTTCTTCACCTCCTCTTGTGTGTATGAGTCAGTCACTGTGATTGACATCCTCTGTAAAGGTCACTGTTCGGTGTCAGGCTGAGCTCTCTCACTGAACATCAATAATCAGAATCAAAAACAAAAAGAACCCTAATATTACTCCTGAGTTCACTTTGTGTCCTCCACCACCCTGCCTCATTAATATTCATGAGCTGTGGGCGTGAGCGAAGGTCAGTGCAGGAAACAGGTGAGGTGCCCACCCCTCACCAAAAAGCATCATGAATGTTAATGAATGCACAAAAGAAGCTCGTTAATATTGATGAGGCAGTGGATGTAACCGGGGCTGCTAAATAGCTCAGGTTAGAGGCCATGTTTTTGTTAATGTGTTCCTAAAGTGGTGCTTTTTAGGTTGAGGGTTAAACAATGAGGGTTAAAGATCAAATCTTCATTAAATCTATATTTACATTGGCTCAAGGGTCCTCTGTGTGTCCTGAAAATCTACAGAAATACTGAAATCAAAGATTCCGTACGGAATGGCAAGTGTGTCAAAAAACAACAAATAATTCATGTCTTAATTCAGTTCCTGGAAATATTCATGATGTGTCCCTGTTAAGGGAAAAGACACAAAAAAATACCTCAAAAATATGAATAACCAGAGAGAGGATTTGTGTTGATTGTTGCACTGAGATATTAGAGTCCCCAAAAATGACCATAAAAAATTCCTCCAAAGAATGACAAAACGCTCTTACCAGACTTTAAAAAGGTCTCAACTGTTGTGCGAACATAGTCTCCCTCGTAGTCGCTAATGAAGACTAGCTTTTCTCTACTTTTTGCTTAATCATAGATAGACCTGGATTAGTAGAGTGCAGCAGAAAATACAGCAGAGCTGCTGTTAGAGCTGTTAGCTGGTTTCTTTCTTTCTTTCCTCAAAGTGGATCAAACATAATAAACTCACACAACATGAAAATTTAATCAAACTGTTTGACAGAAGAAAACTGTTATTTTTAAGACACTCAAGTCTAACATTAGCTGATGTAACTTGTAACCAGCTGCTGTTGTTGTTTCGCCAGCTCGTTGTCAGTTTTCTGGAGACGGGAGGATCCCATGTCTAATCTCTTGGCAATAATTAATTGTGACAGTGTTGTGAATAAGTAAGCATGTTTATGCACATTTTCATGTGTTAGAGACCTGACTTCATTTCAGGAGTTGTCTGTTTTCTTTGTGCTTTCACTTCTGTGATGAAGGGAACTCTTCTTAGATGATAAAGCACGGTCCAGACACAAGTTAAAATTTGTCTCCACTGTATGCAAATGCCTATGACTTGTCTTCACCTTTGCCTTTTGTATACTACATATGTGGCTCAGTTATTGTGCATTTATTATTTTTATTTTATTTTAAATTAACTTGACTGACTGTACCTTTAAAGTCTTTAATGTATTTTCCATTTGCTTCATGTTTTGAGAATTTTAAGAATAACTGTCTCCTCTTTACCAAGATGTTTTTGCCTTAACACTTTTCCCACTACTCACTTTTTATCCACATCATCTCTCCTCAGGGCGGGGTACCTTCCACAGGGTGTTCCTTTGCAGCTGATTGGCTATCTGCCAGAGGAGACGTCCTTCCTTCCATGGCACGCTGCCAGCCGAGCGCTCTACCAGCTGGACAAACTGCTGGACCGCACAGACGAATACAGGCTGTTCAGTGTAAACAACCAATCAGTCACAATTTTAATCGATCAATTAACCACTAACTGCTTCTTGTTAGCAGAATAAAACATCTCTTATCATTGTGTGTGCTGACAGGACTACGTGCTGAAGCAGGTTGCATCGCGGTACCATCAGATGGGTTGGCCAACGAATGGCCCCGGCACAGAGGGCAACATCCTGCAAGCATCCTACCAGACTGAGTATGCAGCAGACAGACATTCCTGTTGGTGGTATTGCACTAACAACACTCAGTCAGTCAGTGGAAGGCAGTGCCCCTTTAACAACATTTGTTCTTTGACTGAGAAACACCGTCGCATCATTGAAACAGAAAACAAAACGTAGTTCAGCATTCTAGCAGCCTGCTTATTCTCTTTCCTGTCACATCGTTGAGCAGAATTATTCATGTCAGATTCTTAGGTTACTTAACTCAAACTAATGAATCAGAAGTCAGCCGTATCTATGTCCAGTCTGGACAGAGGTGAAAGTCGTGGTTTAGCTTAGCTTGATGTTTGTTAGCTAGACTGCAAATCATTAATGGTTAAACGTGTTGATTTTAGGGGGATTTTTTTTGCTGACAATGAAGTTCAGACAAAGTAATATCTATCTTCTATGACTCAAACCTGGAAATCTCAGACCATAAATTTAACATAAAGAACCACCAGTCACCCTCCACAAAGTTATTAAGCACAGAGTGCTGTGACCTTTAAAAAGATCAGCTACTGCTAGCTAGCAAGTATTACGCTGCCACCCAGAATCTCACAGTATGCACTCCAAATAGAAAATGCAAGAATGCAATTTGAGACAAGATAAAAGTCCATAAGATGTTTCTTTGAGCATTTTTTTCTTCTCTATGTCTATTCAGGGAGTTGCAGAGAGAGCTTATCATGTTAGCTTGTAGCTTTGGAAACAAACAGTGCCACCGTCAAGCCGTTGCCTACATCTCTGACTGGATCTCCAGCAACAAAAACAGGTACAAATACACTCGCAGACTGTTTCATTTAATACTTGTGCCAAACTTGGTGCTACATGTGAGACTGGAAGCCATCTATGGATAAAATAGGTGTGTAAAGGACTCATTTTAGGTGGAAGGTGATTATTCAAAAAGCCACCAGTAGTCACGTGTTTGCCTCAAACGATGCAACATGTAGAGATGTCTCAAACTAATGTCAAAAATTTAACTGAGCAAAAAATTTGCATCGTCCCAAATGTACAGTGATGGAGACTCTGCAGGGAATGCGACTTCTGGTGACATCAGTCTGAGACCAAGTGGAACAAAAATTCATCTGTTGGCAGCTAACATCTGTTCATTAGTTTCAATCACTGTTTGGGGGGACAAAAGACAAACTTTCCTTCTGTTAAATCTGAACAAAGGATCATTTTTTGAATGAACACATTCAGTGTTTTTAATATTTTCAAAGAGTTACCCAAACGTTTTCATCAGTAAAGATTAAGTTTGATGACCTCCCCAGTACCGTTAATGACCTCTCTTGTCTTTTATTGATCCATTTGCTTCTATGCTTTCTTTTTCTCTGTCATTCCTTTTGGCTCCAGCTCTCTCCAGTCACGTGCTGCTGGCTCCTGCGTTCCCTCTGTGTCCTTAACAAGATCTGCAAAATTAGATTTCAAACTGCAAATTAAATAGAAACAGATGCTGGAGCTCTGCACAGGACAGCAGGGAGCTGATGATAATAGGAGTTGTAAAAAACCCCAAAAAAAACCCCAAAAAGCACAAAATGAAACCGTTTCTACTCCATCCAGTTGAAAATGTGATTGGATCTAAACAATAGATGAATCCTCGCTAATCTCTGACATGTGCTTTTTTCTAAATAATAATCACCACATGCCGCAAAATATTTCTGGACTTACAGCATGCCCTTTCCATTATCTGTGTTTCTCAGTTCTAGCCTTGTCTTTTAAAGTTCGGTTGTTTACAGTGAACCAAATGGCACCCATTTTCTCTCCTCACTACAACACCACTGTGGCATTTTTTCACATTTTGGAAGCAGTCTGGAAATGCTTCATTCTCTTAGGTAGAAAAGTGCCAGATAAATCTACATTTATGCAGGATTAATCCCTCCAGGGGTGACTTTTTAATATTTCATGCTCTATTCACTAGTTTTTAATCCCATATGGAGATCACATGTATGTGATCTTCCTCCCCATGCCCGGGTATTAATTAAAAACCTGTTTTGAATCAAAATGCTGCAATAATTGCCAGGAGAGAGAGCTCATCTGACCTAATTTCATAGGTACACGAACTTCTTACTGTCTACCAAGTCGCCAAAGAACAACTGAGAGGTAGGGTTGGGACTGCGTTGCATTTTAGCCAAGTGCTAATGAAAGATCCTTTCAAAGACAAGAAGATGGTACTTTTAAAATCAGTTCTTCTATGCAATAGTCACATTAGTGAAAACAGTCACTGGCTGAAGCAAAACGAGACTATGAAATAGCTGCTTTGAAAACAGGGACCAGGTCAGCAGCACTCACCAGCTGCAATGTTTGAACTGACTTTGATGCATCACGAGGATAAAAAGGCAACACGTCAGAATCACCTCCTGTCAGTGTGTCATTCAAAGGTGTCAATTTACCAATTGCATGCAATTTGTCATAGAATATGACACATTAAAATTGCACATTTGTTGTCTTCTAATGCAACTCTGTTGCTGTTTACATACACAGGAATGCATATCAAAAATTAACATTAACAAAAATTAACAAAATTAACAACCCTAACTGTTCACAGTAAGAATCCACATTGAGCTGTGGTTCAAAGTGGTTACTCAGAGGTAGAGGGTGTTGGAAGCTAAACCAACCAGTTGGTTAACGCAATTGCTTGCAATCATTCACCAAAAAACCAAAAGATTCAGGGCCATAACCAGGTTTCCATTTCACTTTCACTCTCATGTGAGTGGATCATTGAATGCATTAACATTTGATCATGCCAAAACATACACCAAAGAGTAGTTCTGAATCCAACCCTGATGTTTGAGCCTACATACAGAGACAGAAGTTTTTTTTCTTTTCTAAATTTTACCCGAACTCTAACCTCTTTTTCATGATGTCAGCCCTTTTTTATTCTCCGTTCGGCTCTAATTATGATTGTATAGTTGAAATTTCACATGTAGTCTCAAGCACTTTGTGTAGTCAGTGAGAGTAGAAAAGTGCTGTAAAAATGGAAGTAGATTATATTACATTACAATATGAATTAGAACTGACAGTTATCAACTTACTTGCACTTACAACACAAAGCTGAACACGTTCCTACTGATCTGCAGGAAAAAGAAAAGGAAAGAAAAAGAACACGTGAAGCTAAACTTTGCTTGTTGCTTGTTCATTTTAAAGCTGCCGTTCCACAGAAATGTGCCTTCATATAAATGAACACCTCCATTTCATTCATATATAGTTTTTTTTTTTTTTTGCTGTTGTTGTTTTTTTATTCGAAATCACCTGCTGTGATGTGACTCAGACAAAATAAAATAAAAAAAATTCTGGTCCAGAACAATGAGCTGCTAATATTTTAGTGCCTACATCCCTCTGGAATATTAATCATGTCCTGCGGGGGTTACTTTGTAAATTAACCATCTGAATGGCTCAAAAATGATCTGCTTTTAAATGAATCTTATGCTCTTATGCGTCTGCAGCCATCAATGGATTATGTGGTTGAGGTTTCAGGGACAACAATGGACTGCTAGCCCCCCATTAACCCCTGTTACTTCCCTTTCTTGCTTTGTGTTTATTATTCTTCTGCCAATTATTTTAGGAATATGCAAACAAAGAATCTGAAACTGAGCTAAAGTTGTGCTGCAGAGTTTCAGCCTTTGTGTCCAACACGTTGCTTCAGACTGAGATTCAGATTCTTCCTGATGGATTTTCATGAAATATGGTTCAGACATTTATGGTTCTGGGGTTTAATGTCAGGTTGACATTTGCTGTTTCGGGTCAAATATCTCGACTACAGTTAAATGGATTCCCATGACATTTGCACATTTATGTCTCCATTAAGAGGAATTGTCATAACTTCATCATCTGGCCTTTAATCTAGCGCCGGTACAAAGTGGGCGCCAAGCAGTTTGACACATTGATTAATGATTGGAGTCTGGTTAAATGTAAAAAGGAGCATAAATACACATCTGTAACAACATGCAACCACAGTTCTCTGCATTAAAATAATGCACTGTCCACACGCCTCCTCCAGCTGCATTCTTATACAATGTTCCCTTTAGATGAGAACCAGTAACCATAACTGGACAAAATGGAGTCAAGTTTGGTGTGCCTGACTCTAAATCCCTCCCCAACAAGTCAAATATTAAATGTGAAAGTGCCAAAAACAGTAGTTATGTTAAGGGCTGGTTTTAAAAGCAATCAATGCCCATTCGATCCCATTATAATTCCAAACACTTAAAAAACACACACACACTTTATGGAGACAGTTTGCTAATCGAGCTAACTAGCTGATAATTTAGTGATCAATCCTCTTATCTAAATATGGTAACCTCTAGATCCAAAAGGTGACATGTGACTAATTTTGATTGTTTAGTCTAAATGTGAGGGTGGATATGTCCATATTTTATACCCAATAGTCTACAGTCTGCTGTAAATATGAATGACTGGGGAATTTGGTCCAGCTAGATCCTACTTTCCCAGCTGTTATGATGTAAGTACATTTGTTCAAAATGTCACTCTGCTGCATTGTTTTTATCCTTCATGACTATAGTGGAAAAAGAATAATCATAAGCGATAATAAGCTAGCTGTAATGAGAGCTTCAGTCTGATTAAAGAATATTCTACCCATGGAACTTCTGATGGTCATCTCTCTGCAGGTCAACAATGGCAGCACCACAGACTGAGGTCATATGTCTTTATTGGGTACTTTAAAATGTTTTATCAGACTGACAGGGTAGTTTTCTAATTTCTATATGATATTTAGACTGGAACGTCAGACATACAGACACATGGGCAGACAGACAGAGCAGATGGTGAAGAGCCATGTTTACCATCAGAGTAGGCGTTTGATCCGGCGGAAAAATATTTCAGAAGAAAGATGGAGCTTTAGGACATAAAACATCCTGTGCAAACTGTTAAAACACATCCACATACAAAGGGAGCTCGTTAATGGGAGCTAAGCCATCTGGGTGGTTGATTATATGGAGAAAATGCAACATTAGGAAGTTATTTTCATTGTGCAGGTGGCAAATAGATGTAGTAGCAGGAGGACAGCACAGAGTATTACTTAATGTTTTACATGATTAATAACCTGGTAGTGTTATCTGGGTAAACACACTCGATGTCATAAATACACGCAGTGTTTGGCAGCTGTCACCTGAGAAGGACTTTAATGCTACAGTCAGCAGTAATGTGGAAGTTAGCCAACCTGTGTCTGTGTGTGTGTGTGTGTGTGTGTGTGTGTGTGTGTGTGTGTGTGTGTGAAAGAGCTGGAGCTTGCTCTTAAGTGGAGCATCTCTAAA